AAAAAAAAAAAAAAAAAAAAGACCACAATGGAGGAACTCTACCTGCTCTGTGAAGTCTGTGGGATCGTGTGTCAACATTTGTTCTCCCCACATTAAGACTGATCCCGCCCCAGGAAAGTCCATCTGAGAGGGGTGTTCTCTTCCTGGCCGCAGGCATGTGGATGAGCAGATCTGTATGCCCAGGGCCCAGTCACTGCTCCACACACCACCCAGCAGTGCATGCTGTGGGGGCTCATATGTAAGACACTTGTCAGTGTTGTAAGTTACAGTTCTAATGGAGCTTTTGCCAGTACATCTGTGGAAATTTCACTATTGATGAATGCATTCTACATTCATTCACTCTTCAAGTACTTGAGGACCTGCTGTATACCAGATAATTGAAATACTGCTGTTTATGAGATGGAGCTCCTTAACCCAAGGACCTTACAGTCTATGTTAAAGGCAAATCCAGTACTAATCAAATCATTTCACAAGTAAATTACCACAAGGCCCAGGAATGTAGCTTAGTGTAGAGTGATTGCCTAGCCTGCTTGAGCCCTGGGTTCAATATCCCACACCACAGGAGAAAAAAGAAAAAAAAATCAGACTATGATAAATGTGAGAGAAAAGCTATGGAAAGCTGTAAGAGGATGCCACTGAGCCATCCTTATGTGGTCTCTGACAGTAGGTGGGGTTTCTCCATGGAGAGACATTTGAGTAATGTTCTGAAGGATGAGCAAGCAGTGTTTAGCAAAGGCTAGGGGTGAAGGAAAGATGGTAAGAGCTGTCCAATCAGAGGTAATGGCACATGCAAAGACCCCTACGGCTGTAGAAAGCACAATGCATCTGAGGACCTGTAAGACCAATGTGGCTGTCAGAAGCAAACAGGAGAGGGGCTGAGATGAGATGAGAGGCCAAGGACTTTGGTCTGTATCCTAAGAGAAATAGGGCATCACTGGAGGTTTCTAAACAGGAGATTGACATGATATTCTATGATCACTCTAGCTACCCTGTGCAGAATGAACTGGATAAGAGCCAGAGAGGAAACGGAGACCAACATGGAGGATAGAGAAAAGGAAAAAGCGAGCAAGACTAAGCACTTGCAACCCTGTATCAGTTGGGAAGCAGAAGTAGAGACTAAAAATGAACTCTGACACTAACTGCCCAGCTTTGTCAGCTTTGCCACGTTTTCTCTGATCTTGAGCAAACTACCCAAATTGTTTCCTCCACTTCTTCCTTTATTATTTTAATGCAAACATTTTCATTGATAGTTTAGAGCTCAAACAATTCCACAGAACAGAAAAAAAATGTGTAAGGTGAGACACTGGAGCGTAAACTTGCAGCAGACAAATACTCTTCACCCTCTTTCTCTCCATCAGCACAATCTGCTCCAATCTCTTCATAATCCTTCTCTAGGGCAGCCATGTCCTCCTGGGCCTCAGAAAACTCCCCTTCCTCCATTCCCTCACCCACATACCAGTGAACAAAGGCACGCTTGGCATATATCAGATCAAACTTGTGGTCCAGGAGAGCCCAGGCTTCAGCAATGGCTGTAGTGTTGCTCAGCAAGCAGACAGCCCGCTGTACCTTGGCCAGGTCTCCGCCAGGAACCACAGTGGGAGGCTAGTAATTAACGCCCACCTTGAAGCCAGTGGGACACCAGTCCGCAAAGTGGATGCTGCGCTTAGACTTGATGGTGGCAATGGCAGCATTGACATCTTTGGGGATCACATCACCACAGTAAAGGAGGCAGCAAGCCATGCATTTACCATGGCGAGGGTCACATTTCACCATCGGGTTGGTTGGCTCAAAGCAGGCATCAGTGAGCTCTGCTACAGAAAGCTGCTCGTGGTAGGCTTTCTCAGCAGAGATGACAGGGGCCAGAGGGAAGTGAATGCGGGGATAGGGTACCAGGTTGGTCTGGAATTGTCAGACCAACATTCAGGGCTCCATCAAATCTGAGGGAAGCAGTGATGGACGACACAATTTGGCTCATAAGGTGGCTCAGGTTAGTGTAGTTTGGACGCCCAATATCAAGGTTTTTACGACAGATGTCATAGAAGGCCTTATTGTCTACCATGAAGGCACAATCAGAGTGCTCTAGGGTGGCATGGGTGGTGAGGATGGAGTTGTAGGGCTCAACTACAGCGGTGGAAACCCAGGGGGCTGGGTAAATGGAGAACTCCAGCTTGGACTTCTTGCCATAGTCAACAAAGAGACAGAGAGACGTTCTATCAGAAGGGAGGTGAACCCAGAGCCAGTTCCCCACCAAAGCTGTGGAAAACCAAGCCCTGTAGACCTGTGTGCAGGTCAGCCAGTTTCCGAATTCGGCCCAAGACAAGGTCAATGACCTCCTTGCCAATGGAGTACTGCCGACAGGTGTAGTTATCAGCAGCATCTTCTTTGCCTGTGATGAGTTGCTCAAGGTGGAAGAGCTGGCTGTAGGTACCAGTGCTCACTTCAATGACTGTGGGTTCCAGGTCTATAAACACTGCCCCGGACATGTTTGCCAGCACCAGTCTCACCAAAGGTGTTAAAGGAGTCATCTCCTCCCTCAACGGCCTTATCACTTGGCCTTATCACTGGCCATCGGGCTGGATGCCATGTTTCAAGCAGTAGAGCTCCAAGCAGATGTTGTCAATAGACACTAGCCTAGCCACACAGGAGACACAATCATGCACTGTGAGGACATGTAGTGATCAATGGCACTGAAGAAGGCAAGAGAACAACAATGAGGATCTCCCACTGACAGACTGCCAAGGAGTCCAGGGAGAGCAGGGCCACCCCTTCCTTTATGTGAGGATTAAATGACTACTATAGTCACTGGAGATTACATATTAGTCACATATATATTTCACTGAAAGCTTAGAACAGTGTCTGGTCCACAATACCTTCTGATAAAATGTGGCCAAGACAGTAATCCCAGCTACTTGGGCAGCTGAAGTAGGAGGATTACAAATTTGAGGCCAGCCTGAACTTAGCAAGACTCTGTCTCAAAACAAAAAACAAAAGGATTTAGGATGTAGTTCAGTGGTAGACCTTTCCCTAAACTCTTATAGTCCAAGGCCACACAGACATTATATATAAAATAGTGAACTACTATTAAAGTTGAGGCTGGGCTGGGCCCTGAGCCTTGTCCACTTGTCTCTCTCTACCATCTCCTGGTCTTAGGTCTAACCCACCCAGTCCTAAATTCCCGGAACTTCAGGGAACTCCTTTCTGCCAGATGAAATGGTCCTCAAATGGCCTGTAAGGGGACAATTTCCTGGGCGCTGTGCTAAAGAATGAGGAGACAGTTGACCAGTTTAAGAGGTGTTCCACCACACAGTCACTCTCAATTTTATTTAACATAAAGTCTGATTAGAGGCACAAAAGCTGTCCCTTCCCATTCTCATATCCCATCAATCAAAACCAAATACAGCCAGCCGTGTTAGCGCACACCTATAATTCCAGCACCCGGGAAGCTGAGACAGGAGGTTTGCTGTGAGTTTGAGACCAGTCTGGGCTACATAGTGAGTTCCAGGTCAGTCTCAACTACATAGTGAGACCCTGTCTCAAAACAACTCCCCCCGCAAAAAAATAACCAAAATACTTTTCTGTTTGATGACAGGCACACAAACTGGTTTTTAATAGCAGTGGTAGTAGGTAGAAATCCACAGAACAGAAACAGCTTCAAATGTAGATGTCAGAAGGATATGGTTAACAGAAATGCCCTAGAAGAAAACATGTATCACTCCTGAGAAGTTTCTGGGGCTTCATCCTCTACCAACTTTACTTGTTCTGGCTCCCCTTCGGATAAGATTCAATCAACAATGGCTCTACTTTTCAAGATTTTCTTGGGGACAAGGAAATCCACTCACCAGCCATAGGTAACATCCTAGGAGTAGTCCTGGATATCTCAAGACCTGTGACCCGCCAGGGTCACTAGGAGGTTGAGGACAGGGTCTTTAAACCAACAATCCATCCAGATGTTCTGGAATTAGATCATAAGGGACACTATGAATTACCTGGATGCAAAACACCTGACTAGATGTAACTTCCTGATGATTCTGGTTTTATAATATGTGGACTCTGAGATTGCCTTTATGGGGGCCAGAGATTTAGCTCAGTGACACCATGCCCACCGTGAAAGTGCAAGGTCCTGAGTTCAAACCCCAGTACCAGGAAGAAAAAAATAAAGAAAACTTTTTCATGTCTAAAGACCAGGATGCCCTATAAACCGAGCATGAACACTAACCAGCCCACAGGAAGCAACTGAAGAGGCCGGGCGTGGTGGCACACGCCTGTAATCCCAGCACTTGGGAGGCTGAGGCAGGAGGATTGTTATGAGTTTGAGACCAGCCTGGGTTACATAGTGAGTTGCAGGTCAGTCTCAGCTATATAGTGAGACCCTGTCTCAAAAAAAAAAAAAAAAAAAAAAAAAAAAAAAAAAAAAAAAA